CGCGACATCTCTAGCCATGAACTGCACAGCGCCATCACTTGCTTTCGTGTTGGCCTGTTTCCCGACTGCAGGAGAAAGAGGTGAGAAAGGGAGAGAAGAGGAAGATGAGGGGTAGAGCGGAGCTCGCGAACACGGAGCAGATTGATGGCACATCGTTTCGGTCTGGCGCACACACACATTCGTACACAGCAGAGCCGAGACGATGCTCGCCTCTGGCGGCTCGCCCAACACGGCAAACAAACACGGCCATCGTAGAGAGCCGTAGTCTGCGTTCGTTCCGGGCCCGGAACCCCCACCAGGCCACATCAACCCCGGCGGGTGTGCGTGTTGTTGCGATCTGGGCGATTCCGTTTCTTGGGCCCGCCTAAAACCCCGGAGGGATATGCGCGTGCGTATACGTGCGGAAGAGATCTGCTGCGAACGCGTGCCGTCACGACGAACGGAGCAACGTCGTCGCTATCTCGCCGGTAAACACTGCAGGGCAGTTGAGATGGATGGGAAAGTTCGGCCACGCATGAATTCGAAAGTGTTGGTTCTGGTTGTTTCTTTATATAGTGCTTTTTTTTTTCCTTTTCACCATGGAAGGGACATGGGGAGTAGGGGTCGCTTCTGTTTATGAAAAATGAGAACCAAGAAAGTTTTGTTTTTTTATGGTTTCATAGGATTGTGGTTTAATGGAAGGAGCCAAATGTATGGACGTTTCGTGTGCCAAGTTCTTGTATAAAATTCAACGCAAAGGTCGCAAGCTTTACTATACCTTAATTGCGAGTGTACGAAAGGAAACTTCGTGAAGCTTTCTCCAAAGTTAAAATTAATATCAAGATTTCGCTCGGCGGCTTTAAATGAATCTGAAGCGGTATATCAGAAAGGTAATCACACATGCACTAAGGTTTAAAGTGGTGATGTAACGATGGCGATTAAGAGGACGCATGGCCTTCTTTGTATAGAATATTTACTTTTTTATCAATATAAAAAATAATGCAGTCTACAGTAAGAATTATTACCTGCGCTCAAAGAAAGAACACTTAAATTCTCCAAGTCGTGGATATAGTAGCTTTTACATAGCCCAAATATATTAAAAATGTATTTCAGTATACTTTTAAACGGCATTGTGTCCTCGGACATCAAAACAATAATGCGTCCATTTTTTGTGCGTTTGTTTTCGGATGTAGCACAATAAAAAGATTGTTAGAATAAAATGTAAGAGTTTCGGAATTACTTTGGAAAATTATGCTTATTAATAGGAAGCAATATTCACCCACGTTTTATTTAACGTTTCGGCATTTTGTTTTCTATTTGCAGAAAATGCATAACATTTGATGCCTACAAAATTGTCATAATTTTTCAGCAACTAAAAATATATTTGCGAAATGCGTAGTTTTTGGACTATACTGTAAAAAAACACTGTATTCGTAAGAGATATTGGCGCACGCATAAGGCAACACCGGATTTTGTGACTTGATGTTCAAAAGACCTTTAATATTTTGGGTAGCTTTAGGTGAGCAATTGCAACAATTGGTAAACCTTTAGCAAGAGGTGTACAAACATGAATGTAGACATCAAAAAGCTTGTAAAGTAACCTCTTCTTAGCAAGGCGGGAATTGCAGTACAAACTGGTGTTGATGGTTGAGGTAGTATTACGTAGTCGCTTCTAGGTGAGTACTTATTTTATATCTTAGAGTGTGTCTCTTATTCAACACACTCATCTTGTCTATAGGCAATTAAAGACCAGGTGTATTTTTGTTTCGGTTTAATAATCTAGTACCTGGTTTGCAAATGAATTCCTTATTAGCATTAGTGACAAATACATAGTTACGGCGTTGGATATTAAAAAGGTATGGGTGGCGCCACGTTCCAGTACCCTTATGAATTCTTTTTAAACATAGCTGTTTCGCGTACGTCGTTGTTGAGCGGAGTGCGTCAGGTGAACGATTTTATAAGGAACATCTGTGAAATTTGTTTTAAAGTCCCCTGCCAATCAAAAACGTAACTTCATACATTTTCTTTCTTTTTCTTGAGAATGGAGAAGACCTTAATCTTGTTTTTATCTAAAATAGATTTGTAGGTTTTTTCTAGCATTTAGTTAACTTGGAGGAGTTGCTTACTTGAATAGCTGAAAGATTACGTTCTTGAATACAGCATGTCAGCATGTTGACTTTTGCCAGAAGGCAGAACCCAAAACTTAACGTTTTCTAAAACGAGCAGAATCATAAGTTTGGCTTCGTGTTTTCTCCGACGCAAGGCAGAACTCTAAATGATTACACAGCTCGCTGAAGAGCAGATGTATTTCAAATCTGCTGGAAGTCACAAAGCTAATGTGCCCTGTTGAAAATGTGCCGAGAAATTGGGATCGCCTCGCTTCATACAAAAAATTAAATGAGGACTTGAAATATGGCCAAATGGAGGCTGACCGATTGATAGTTTTATCTCAGTTGAAATTTTTACATTGTTTTATATCCATGCTTAATAAATTCGCAGTCATTTTCGGCCAGAAAATTAATCTCAAAACCAAAAAGTTTTGGCTAAATTTTATTTTGAAAGATTTAAGTGATATTAATAAAGCTACAGTAAAGGCGTGCTGAGTAAGAATTTCGGCGTGCATATGATAATTCCAAAGCTATTCGTCGTCCAAAACATTGTATATATTTTGCCTGAAGAAAAAAAACGCTTAACCTTTTTGTTTTGTTTTCTTCTCCAGCTTAATTAAAAAAAAAAATAAATTCGGAATTCTCATTTCACTCGCAAATGAGCGTAGATTTAAGCCGAGGTCACGTTTCTGTGCGTAAGCTACTTTCGACGAGATAGGGACACACAAACATAATAAAAACGTAAAACCATGACTCTTGAACAACCTAGACAAATATTCCAGTTTATTTTTTTGCCACTTGTTTTATTCTATTGGCGCATTTATATCTATTCAAGACATGTTGCATATATCATCGCAAAAATTAGCAGAAGAGCTAAGAACTAGAAGGAAATGTTTAACCTTAGTGAATGTGTGCATGCAGCAGAAACAAAAGTAGCACCGAACGAGTCATGCGACGGCGAAAAAGGCACGACTTACCCGACGCTGCCAGTCACGGATTATTTTATACACGCTACATTGAGATTATTTCGGATAAGAAAACTTGAGAATATCATATATTCTATAGTCTTTGTCACATCAAGACGAAAGCAAGTTTAACACATTGCTCATACGCCGCGCAAAGAACAACATGCCCGCCCCCCCTCAAAAAAAAAAAAAAAACGATTTTACTATGTTTATTGTTTACTTCAAAAAATAGAGTGTGCATCGACGAACTCTCATGCTCAGCCTAAACGTAACGATAGCTTCGAACCAGACGCCAAAGCTACAGCACTAACCGATGCTTTATTAAAAATGTTATGAAATTTCTTTTTCTTTTTAATTTTTCAATGGGAAAATTGAACTTTTTGAGGTAACTGGCGCCATAGTGCTCTATGTACTCAGGAACTCTGTAAGCCGCTATTTTCCCAATTAAAATTTCTGAAAATCGCATAACTTTTGAATAGTGTAACGGTTAGTCTTCAAAGTTTGGCATCTGGTGCGGACCTCTAGCGCCACATTTTGGTTGGAGAATGCGTGTTCAGTGATATGTATATTTATTTTTGCAATGCAAATAACCTGTCTGTTTCTTTTTTTTTAAGGGGGGGAGGGACGGAGCAGCTTGTAGTTCTTACGAGAGTTAGTTGTATCGGGAAGAAACGATGCTTTTGGCGTTTGGAACGTGTACGGTTTGATAAGGTAGCACACATTAAAATCTAAAATGCCCCTAATTACAACGAAATTCTCCACATTAAAAGTGGAAAGGAATAATGCCCGGCAAGGTGCCGGACCTTCTTTTACTGTGGTTCTTGAGGTGAAAACGAAACTACTGGAACGTCGGGAACGTTCTATAAGAAGAGGTAAGGTAATATTAAGTACCCATATTTCGGAAGTTGACTCCGCGTACCTCCTCGTGGCAGCCGCGTGCTCTGCCAACTGGGGCATGCAAAAATATTGATGACGTAGGAAAGATAGCGCTTCTGTGGAATACTTTTTTCAGATGGAACAGCGTATTACGCACGTAAGGATGACGACTCCCTGTATTGTGAACTGCATGTATACAATTCTATGGCAGTTTTGCTCCGGAAAGCTCGTCGGTTAATGTTAAAGGCAGACGATCAGCCAGAAAGAAGGAAACTCCCTCAATTCCTCATTTCTTATTCCAGAAAAAAAAAATTTGATCCTCCTTTCTGGCTGCTTGTCTGCCTTTAACATTAACGGACGAGCTTTCCGGAGCAAAACTATCATAGAATTGTATACATGCAGTTCACAATACAGGGAGTCATCATCCTTACGTGCGTAATACGCTGTTCCATCTAAAAAAAGTATTCTACAGAAGATCTATCTTTCCTTTGTCATCAATATATTTGCGTGCCTCAGTTGGTAGAGCACGCGGCTGCCACGCGGAGGTACGCGGAGTCACATTCCACAATCTGGGTACTTAGTTTTACCTTACCTTTTCTTATAGAACGTTCCCAACGTTCCAGTATTCTCGTTTTCATCTCAAGAACCACAGTAAAAAAAGGCCGGGCATTATTCCTTTGTTGTTTTGATGTGGATAATTTTTTTTGTAATTAGGGGCATTTTAGATTTTAATGTGTGCCACCTTATCAAACCGTATACGTTCTAAACGTGTACGGTTTGATAAGCTGGGCCCCCATCCTCGTCGCCAATTAATACATCTTTTTCTGTTAAATGTGCGTTTATTTACACTATGTACAGTTTAAGTCGGAAACAAGCTAGCCATTGCTCATTGCGTTTTTGGAATCAGTCTGTCCCTGCTATCGCGGGTGCGCGCGTGCTCTTTTTGAGCCGCGTCTTCGTCTTGCTTGACCGCGATATATATAATATCCCCCTTCTTGATTAACGTACAGTACATAGTCTTTAAAGTGTGCTGGCTGCTTGATCCGGCGACCCCTTCGGGTAGTCCTCGGACCGGGGTCTGCCTGCACGTCCGCGTTGTCGTCCACGTCTCTGTCCTGGACGTCCGTATTATTGTCCACGGTGTCTCTGTCCTGGACGTCAGCATTATTGTCTACGGTGCCTCTGTCCTGGACGTCAGCATTATTGTCCCCGGTGCATCTGTTCTCGGGCTTTGTCATTTGCGACTCGTCTATGTCCTTCATGGTTGGGTAGATTAAGAATGGAGAAGCTTTTTCTTTGGCCTCTAGAGTTTCCAAGTGTGATCTTCTGGGGCGAATTATGATCAACGTGTCGACGCTGAAGTTTTCCGTCCTCCATTCTTGTTTGAAATGATCGAATTCCTAGCGGTTTCACGATTACCGCGGTAACCCATGCTGGTCTTCCACCGAAATTTCTCACGTAGACGGTTTAACCTGCAGAATAACCTGGCGTTACTCCGTCCGACGGAACTTCTCGGTCTTCGCTTGTCGACGAGCTTTGCTTCATGACATCGAGAGTGTGGCGATCCGTCGGCCGAACATTGCTTCGGCGGGTGTTTTCCCCGTGAAGGTTGAAACTGTCGCATGCTGCCTGAACAAGAACCTGGTGATTCTGCCGTGGACTGTTCCTTCCTTGAGCTTCAGGAGGGCCTTTTTTGTTTCGCCCACCATACGCTCCACTTGCCCGTTTGTGGCGGGATGATATGGGGCGCTCTTGCAGTGTTTGATGCCGTTTCTCGTTAAGAACTCATTCCTTTCGTTCCATACGAAATTTGGTGCGTTGTCGGAGAAAAGGATTCTCGGAACTCCAAAAGTTGCAAAGGTGGAGCGAAGGGCATCGATGATGCGTGTATGCGTCGTGGAGTGCATCGGCTTCACCTCCAACCACTTCGAGTAAGCGTTGACGACGATGAGGTACGATATCCTGTCGATCGGTCCGGCAGAGTCAACGTGAATTGTCTCCCAGGGTCGAGTGGCAAGTGACCGGTCAGGCGCTTGTACCGTAGATTTGGCCTGATGATGTTGTTGGCACGTCTCACACGCAGCTGCTGTTGCTTCGATGTCTGTGTCAAGCCTCGGCCAACAGAAATGGCTCCGAGCAGTACTTTTCATGGCCACAACTCCCAAGTGGTTGCCGTGCAGCATTTTCAAAGCTTGTTCGCGTGCTGCTTTGGTAGAACAACACGTGCCCCCCACGTCACACTGCCGTTTTGTGTTGCCAACTCGAGTTCTCTGCGCTTGTACGGTGCGAACTCGTCTCCTGCCCAGTTATTGGTGGTTCCGTCTTGTAGCCCTTGGTAGACTTCTGACAAAACGGAGTTTTCCTTGGTTAGGCGCGCGATGCGTTGACCCGTCAAGGGTGGGCACTCCATTGCTTCGAGCATAAGTACATCTCCTGGTGGTGCAGCTTCGTCATTCATATTTGGCAGTGGTAGAAGACTGAGTGCGCCCGCGTTCTGGTGCGCCTTGCCTTGTCGGTAACGCAACTCTTAGTCGTAGCAGCCAAGTAGAAAGCACCATCGGGTCATGCGTAGTGACAGCATTAGCGGAATTTGTCGACCTTGGCTCCAGAAAAGGCTTGTGATCAGTGTACACGATGACTTGTCGCCCGGTGACGTACTGGTGGAAATATTTCATGCCGAAGATGATGGCTAGTCCCTCCTTATCCAGCTGAGCGTATTTACGTTCGCTTTTGCCCAGTGTTCTGGATGCGTAGGCAATTGGAGCTTCCTCTCGGGCGTCGTCCAGCTGCGACAGAACTGCCCCAACATCATATGGTGACGCGTCGCAAGACAGAACAAGTTTCCGATTGTCATCATAGTGCGCGAGAAGAGGTGCTGAACTAAGTAGCACCTTCAGCTGTTTGAAAGCCTTGTGCTCTTCGTTCCCCCAGCGCCACTTGGCGTCTTTGTCAAGCAGTCGATGCAGCCTTTCGGCGGTGGATACCCTGTTCCGAAGAAAACGACTGTAGAAGCTCAGCATTCCAAGAAAGGCTTGGAGCGCCTTTTTGTTGCTCGGTTCTGGGGTTTCCGTGATGGCCTTTACCTTGTTAGTCTCACGCCATTAGCGTCAACGTAGTAGCCTAGGAATTCTATCGCTGGAACCCCGAATTCGCATTTGGCTTGGGTGACCCGAAGTCCGGCTTCCGCGAGGCGTTGAAGAACGGCTTTCAAGCGTTCTAAGCGTTCCTCTTCAGTTTCCCTTCTGACCATTATGTCGTCAAGGTATGCTCCCGTGCCTTCGATGCCTGCCAACAGCGTGTCCATGAACTGTCGAAACAGCAAAGGCGCAACCGAAACTCCAAAAGGAACTCGTTAAACGCGAAAGAGCCCCATCGTTGTCGTTACAGTCAGTAAATCTGTTGTGACGTCGTCCACTCACAATTGCTGGTACGCTTGCTGTAGATCTATCTTCGAAAATATGTTTCCTCCCCGTATGATGGACAACAGGTCTGGTGCTGTGGGAAGCGGATATGCGTTTGCCTTGAGTGCCGGGTTGACCGTGCACCGATAGTCCCCACATAGCCGTAGTGTACCGTTCTTTTTTCGGATGTTGACATTTGCAACAAAGTAAGGCGTGTGGAGAAGGAGACAAGAAGTCTTGTGTTGCTGAAGCCCAAAAAGGTATTTAAAAGCACTTTGGGTAAACTACTCAATGAAAGGGGTGACATAAAAGCGGGAGAAAACACATACCGATGCACGGCATATTAAGACTTCGAGAAACCACTACAAAGGTGGTTTAGACATGTTGGGGCAAGCAACGTTCCTGTATTGGGATCAATCTTCTAAAAGATTGAGAGATTTTTTTTTACTCTTGATGTGGAGGGTCTTTTAAAAGAATGTGAAAGATTCCTTTTACCTCTTGCTGTGAAGAACTTCACTGCAAATGAATAGCTGATTACCTTAAGGGCCACTATGGCATAAGAAAAAAGACCATATAAGCGGTGGATAGCTGGATGCAAATGGCTTTACTTTTTGTAAAGGAGAGTCGTGCCAGTGTATGTGATTGGACTATTGTGGTGGCAGTGCCAGCGTCGAAGGAGGAAATCAATGACTCAACGATCAAGTTAAGCCGAGTATGAAGCCAAAAATAGTTTCAGTGCCTAGGAAATGTACCTTCATTGGCAAAAACACCCCTGGCAAACGATTCACGCTAGCCGGACAGTTCTAATGGCAGGTAACGTAGCAAGGCCCCCAGATTACAGTACTTTTGAAAACTAACGCGGATGGCACCACAGAAATGTATCCTTAGGGATGGGAAAGTTCAGAAGGCCAAATTGCATGAAGAACGGCCGCAATATTACCATGATGTACATATGACACATGAAATCATTGCTGGATCGGAATCTCTTTGGCTAGGTCTTTGGTGGCTCATGGACTGAGAAGCGGAGTTTACGGATAAGCATCCCAGACTGTGCTTACTTGGTGAAATATGCCGCTTAGCATACCCAGTTCGATTCTAGCAGACAAAAACGGCATCCAAGCTACAGCCGTTAGACCTTCAAAGGTGGTCTAGATTGTGTTTAGCATTTATAAATGCCCAGGAACTTCGGTCAGTTAGCCCATCCCCAGGCTTTCAGAGATGGTCACGAGAGCCAGCAGCTTGTCTTGGGCAGCTCACTGTCAGCCGCTCTGTTCCTCCATGCACAGTGCCACCTTCATGAGCTCCCACTCAGACTTGTACGTAACGCGTTACAAGTAATTGATTACTTGTAATCAATTACAGTTAAGTGTAATTTTGTAACGCTTCAATTACATTTGTCAAGCTGTAACGCTTGGAGTAATTCAATTACTTTTTTTTCTGTAATCAATTACAACATCAATTACACAATTACCAATTACATTTTTCATCCCACAATTTTTTTTCTCACAAAAACCAGCATAGTCACTCAGCCATGGAGCAAAAATGATTGACATTTTTTTAACATCTAAAAAAATAAAACTAGGATTAGTCGGCAAATCCTTTTTTCTTTTACGCCACGCTCTTCTACAAGCGCGCCACCAGCCTTGGCTGGGGAGTTCCGGATCTCGTTGCAGATTGCTGATAAAGTCGACGGGAAGCGGGAACTCGCTATTGACTTTTTAGTGTGCTTTGTTCCTTAGGTCGACGCGTCAGCTACACGACAAGGTCCGGGTTTGAAAACAAAAAAGGGAACAATAACCAAACAAAATTGTGTACGCAATATTTTACTGTGTATTTGTGTATTTCTGTCATCGCAATAAAAAGTAACGTGAAAGTAACTTGAAAAGTAATCAATTACTTTGCAGTAATTGTTCAATTACTTCTGGGAGGCAGTAATCAGTAACGGTAATCGGTTACTTTTTTTATTGTAGTAATTGTATTTGTAATCAGTTACTTTTTTTCAGTAACGTGTACAAGTCTGCCACTGAAGAACTAAAGAAACAGAACCCGGAAATTGTTATAACTGCAATAAGAAAATCTCAGCAGCAGATGCTAAAGTATGGTGCCTGCAATGCGCCTCCGACTGGTGTGTTCAGCGTTCTATGCCACCCATGCATAAAAAGTGGTCTCTAAGCAAGAACATTAAATGACGCCACAGTAACCCGCACGTCCTGCTGTCTGATGAGACTACCCTGGCGGTTGGTCGTACAACTTCTGGCAAAAACTGTATGAGCTAAAGGAAAGCATCATTTTTCTCGAAACATCAAAAATTCTGGCTGCTAAATCTTCCGTGGAGTCCCAAGCTGCCGGATATTCTCCCCCCCCCCCCCCCCCCCCGCCCTCAGCAGCAGAAACTACCCCAACAGCCATGATGTTCACAACCCGTAGAAATATCCCATAGAAAGTACGTTTAGAAGCAACTAAGGAAGCTATACAGACAAGCTCACGCACTAGGAACCCATTCCACAAATCTCCATGAGCAGCAGCTGTCCATCTAGAGTATAGAAGTTTATATTGTTCATACATTTCAAGATTAGGTTGTATCTTTGGATTCTTCCAACACTACCCTATTGGAAAAACCAGCATGAAAATCAAACTGGTCAAGCTGGTAATTAAGGTGGTCAAGCTGGTAATCAAGGTGGTCAAACTGGTCAATGTGGTAATTAAACTGGTTTAGCTGGCAATCAAGCTGGTTTAAGCTGGGCAAGCTGGAATTTAAGCTGGTCAGTCTGGTCTAAGTAAAAACCAGCATGGTCTCACTCGAATCTGGTTTTAGATTCAATCTGGTGTAGCTGGGAGCCAGTCTGGTCTTAACTGGTCAA